GGTGGCTCGTGAATGCTGTGATGCTGGGGTGGATGGAGCACCCAACAGGAGCACGGGGGCCTCCCCAGCGTGCTCGGCAGCACTTCCGGTCCACTGGGAAGTGCGCTGGAGCCCCCCCATGGCTCAGTGACCAGTGCCTCCTGGGTCTAGGGGGTACCTGGGGTCCCCCTTCAGCCTACTGCCGAGCTGGTGGGGGCATGGGGGGGGCCTTTGCGTGCTCAGCAGCAGTCCCGGAAGTGGACCGGAAGTACTGAGCATGTGGGGGGAAGGGGGAGCAGTGTTCTATGGGATGCTCCATGCACCCCAGCATCGCAGCATTCACAAGCTGTGCTGCTACTTCTAGATATGTAGAAAAAACATTTAAAGCAGTGTCTGTGGCTGAACCACTGATTCCCCAAGTCAGTATCAAATCTTCAGATTGGGATTCGGCCTAATCCAATTGGGGACAGCGATCTGAATCAACTAATTTAATCACTGTCCCAATTCGGGCCAAATCTGAATCGAATACAGCCTGTTGTTTCACACACCCATACTACCTAGTCTGTCTACAGCTAGTGTTAGGAAAAAAATTGCAGATATCCTTACTCTTCCAGGAGGGTGTGGGGAAAACACAAGCATTTTAAAACATGTCAGTATAACTTACTTCAAAACTTGAGATTATGCTTTTTTTGTTGAGCGGAAGCTGGAAAAAACAACTGCTATACTCCTGTGAACCAGTATTAATTTTAAATGGTTATTTTCCCAAAGGTGTCATTTTGATTTTACATATTTGAATTTCCTTTAAGCACAACCTTAAAACTCATACTATACTCCATAGGATGCAAAACATTCTGGATTTAAATAAAAGTCTGAATACTAACTTTCAAATACTCCAAGACTGTGCTTAGGGTTACAGCTTGCAAGCAGGATGTTGACCACAACTATGGTGAGACTGTACAAGGACCACAACTTGATTTTTCATCAACAAACTTTGAATTCAAAGGCCTATAGCAAACAGCACAAACAAATACTAAAAACAGCACAAAGAAAAGTTGGCTTACAGTTTAGGGACCAAGCTGCAACCTGCACTTACTTCATTTTGTCATATTCCTGTGAGGTAGTAGTCACTCTTTCATCCCCAACATAAACTTCACAAAAAGGCCGACAGCCATTGCGTTGCTTGCTGAAGAGAGGTACTGGAGTCATGATAATTGATTTGATGAGGATCGGCTTGCTGTGAGGAATAATGGGTTCTTCTGCCATCATGTCACACATGTACTCTATATATCTGTCAAAACAAGAAACATTTGTTCAGCAGAAAGCTAGAGCCTAAAAATTCACAATGCAAAAAGCTTTTGTAACCATCAGTTCAGTAGCAGGCTGGATGCTGGCATGATCTTATCACAGGGGCAGGCAATTATTTTGGGCAGAGGGCCACTTAATGAGTTTCAGCAAGCCA